TTTTGATGCTGGTAGTAAAAGAACGCCCGTCAGTTAGTACTTTGTCAGAAAGTATTAGGAAGCGGAAATATTACCTCCTGTCCAATATCTCCTCTCGTGTTGTGCATTGGTGATTGCGACCTTTTGGTGCCCGCTTTCTCTTGAGCATCTGAGTCGAGAGCTAGTTTGTGCTTTTGCTCAATAGTAGGCTCGGCTGAATATGTAGTTTCCTTCTGAGGAGTCAGAGTCAGGATCACTGGCGGCTGCCAATGCTCCTTGATCTGTGGGGTAGCACCGTGACCATATTTCAGAATCAGAATATGGCGAGTCCCTGACTATGAGGATTTGTGAAGTGCCATCTGCATCATGACTAGAGCTGTTACCAGTAGTAGTATTGGGATCATAAGACATTGGACTTGGAAGAATATATTGTTGTAATTAATGGCTACCGTACATCCTCAGGCTAGTAATACTTCTTACCACCCTGATGATATCATTTGTGGAGATATTCTGTAGACTTTTCCGAACATAGTAAGCTCCAAGTCTATGTCAACGATCAAATTTTCAAACTTGGATTCAATAGAGTGACGTTAAGGCCAATCAATGAGCCCCAGACTTGGACTCAGATCAGCCAACCAGCGGTGTCTTAAAACTCCAAAAATGTCAGTGAATATTGATGTTGAATACTCCACTAGTATGCTTCATTTGCCACACGAGATCAAAAGGACAGTCTTTCAGCTTGCAGCGGGCATCCATCCTGCAAATGATGTGCACTCATATTTATTAGTGGCCACCAGAGTTCATGACTGGTAGGTACAAGTCCTGGGATATGCTGGATTCAGTTGTGACTTACAGGACAGTAACAGGATTGAAGGATTAATGTATCGGACCGTTGTCCTCGCCAGTGAGGTTGCTTCTGCAAATATCAAATCTCTCTGTATTCGTGGTACAGTGCAGCTCGCTACAGCTGCAGAGGTCGTACAAGTATGCAGTGGTATTACTGACCTTGCCCTCTGGAGTCTGCCAGAGGGGGATCATGTAGTGCCGGATTGCCTATTGGATGGATTGAAAACACTACCTTTGTCACGGCTGTCTATCCACTTGTCAATTGTCTTCCGCAGAACTGATACACCGTTCCTACCATCCATCTCCCTATTTAGCAAAATCACCCACCTTGACTTGTTGGAAGGTTGGGTGCTTTGGGGCTTTCCAATCGGCATACATTGCCTTACACAACTTACGCATATTTCCCTTTGATTGTTCACTGACCGGACAGCACCAGCCTTGCTGCAAACAATCCTTGCGGATTGCATTCACTTGAAAGTATTGGTGTTGCGCGTAACAGAGGAAGTTGGCAGGGTAGAGAAATGGTTGCAGGAGCATGGTCTCAATGATCATCATATTGTTGTGACAGCCAAGAGCTCCTGTGATACCTGGGATTGCAGAGTGGCAAGTGATGGGATGAGCTCATGGCAGTATGGAGATTGCATTACAAAGTGTTGAGACATGATACATGAATGTACAGATTAGACATGGAGAATATATGCAATAAGATTTAGCTAAGCGGTGAAACGAACCGATGTAGGATCGGATCTGAGGTCGGTAGTGATCCCCACTCATTCTTGGCTTCTATGGGTGTCAAACGGCATGTGTAGGCATGGAATCGAGCACAAAGCGGGGCGAATGTTTTAGGCAAGCGCATGAGCATCAGGGAAAAAATGTACTGGGCGAGCAACCAATATTCACAAGGCCGCTGTAAGCGACTATACACTGTACAGTGCCTAGTAATTACACTCTGAGTCTGATCTGTATGATCATTGATGGTTAGTGGAGGATTAGAATTCCTGCATGAACATTTTTACCTTCCAAAACGTGCATTGAAATCTACAAACACTCTGGCTGCGGCAGCGCATTTATTGTGTCAATGACATGGACATAGAAGTCCATGATCATCACAGGACACAGCTTGTAAAATATATGAAGGGCTTTTTGAGAGATGATGCACATATCATCCAGCGTCCTGACTCCCATCAATTTCAAAGGGGTGAGGAATAACTCTGGCCATTGCTGCGCCGGCTCATCACTGTTGAGCTGCCCCATAAATGCTTCCAAAGTGGGATATGTAATTGATGGGTCGGTTTCAATCTCCACATCAATCAGTAGGGTGCTTGAAGTAGTAGTAGTTACTGACATGGGGTCGTGATTCAAGTTAGAGGCAAATGATGACTCGGACTCAGACTTTAATGTGCTGTTGTACCCACCATGACGTCTTTATGACAGAGCCGAGGGTACTAGCACAAGTCCAAGTCCAATGCTACTAGTTCCGATCCAAGGGCGCAATTTAGCAAGTGGATCCATCTTCCCAATACTCGTCATCTGTGTCAAAACTGTGGTATGAAGTAGGTGACGATGATGCAGGGGTCTCGGCACTGGCTCCATGACTGGTAGGTCCCTCGTCAGCAAGCCTCTAACCATGACAGTACTAGCCACTCATCGTATTTATTGGCAAATGGTGTTTACCCAAGAGGTCAACCATATCCTCACTATACAGATGACGTCCACCAAGGAAGAGAGACTGTTATGACAAGTGGCAGGTAGCTGGTCTCCAAAGGGTCCTACGACATGCAACATGACCTCCAGATTTTCCAAGCCATCTAGGGGACAGGCGTTAGTCAGATGTCAACATGATTCACGAAACTCACATCTGACTTCCTTGAGTTCTTGTTTGGTTACTGCTGTAGATTTGCTACTTATGGCATGTATTTGAGCTCATCTTTTTCCCCCTCCGACACGGGCTCAATATACAGGCAAAACGGGCGAGAGGGGCGACATGATACTGGACTGAAAATCAGAAGTGCTCTTGGCCAGGCGCTCCACTGTGAGGTATCCCGTATTTGGCTTGAGGATGTCGGTGTCCACTGTGAATGATGTCAGGTAAGAAAGTGACACAATAGAAGCAGACTCTTCAGCTTACTTTGGGGCAGCCAGAACAGCACGAGATCTACGCGATTAGGCAGTAGGGTAGCGCAGCCATGGATAAATTTGCTAGCAGTGGTCCGTGAGTAACGTGGAGCCACCTTGGGAGTGAGAATCATACCTGAACTTGGGAATGGCTTCGACAAGGTAGGACTGGACGAGATCAGTAACCCATTTCGGAGGTTCTTGTCCAAACTGAGTCTGAAGCTTGACTTCCAAAACGCCATACCTTGAAGAATGTGAACATGTTATGAAACTGCTCAATAAGGGTAACGCACTTGAAAAGCTCCTTATCCGCCGTTGGCAACTGGTCAAAAGGATGGTCGATGCCAATGTCGGTTCGCCACCAGTTATCGCCAGCACGTGCTTGTCTGTCCCAGTTGTCTTCACGAACCATAGTAAGTTCCGTATCAAGCGATATCCATACACGGGGATCCCCGGGGAGCTGGAACGCAGTTCGGTTGTAAAACATCCTCATGACTAGTATATTTGTGAGCAAGGGAGTCAGACATTAGGCCTGCTTACATACCCGGCTGAAGCTGCTTCGTAAGAATACGATACTGGACCTCGCTTGCAAGCTGAATCATAGAATTGACTTCAGCTTGTGTCTTCTTGCCTTTGTCAACTAGAGCCTGAAGCTCCGCGTCCATGGTGTATTCTCTGCGTAGAAAAGTGTTCACAAGATGTTCTTTGATCGGGAAACGCACCTTGACAGACTTTTCACCTGTCCAGTCTTCTCCGTGTGTCTTGCGCTCTACGAAAATCTGAGGGACGACGTTGAGTGAGACCTTCACAAGCCAAGCCAGACACACTGATGGTTTTCACATCTGTGTCGCCATACCACCAGAGATGAATAGCTTTGGCACCCTCTGTCTTCTCTAGTCGACCAAGGTAAAGTTCAAGATCTTCATTATCGAAGTATATTGAAGTAATGGCTGCAACAGGCATTAACATAACACTCTCTGTGTCAAAATCAAACATACCAGCATCCTTCTGTTCGAATTCCTTCTGGGCATTGAACACTATAAGGAGAGATCAATCAAAAAAAATACTGAAATGCACTATCACTTACCAAGAATGGGTAGATGTCGCAAAATAGACATTGTGAGAATCACAACATCCAACAATAGGGTTGGCATAATTATCAAGGCCACACATGGTAAGGCACTTGTCCACGATACTAGTATCCACAAGTCTCAGTTGTGTGCATACAGTGAAATCATGGTGAACATACTATAATTCGAGTCCTGAAGGTGGTTGTTGTAGACAAGTGGAGAACAGAACAGCCTTGCAAAAAGTCGTTTGCAGCAGGTGAGTGTTCATTTCTTGACAATAGCCATTGCAAGGAATATCAACAAAAGATTTTGACTTGTAGCGAGTTCACTCACGTCTGAGCCTAGAAGTCTGGGCTGCCCATTAACAAACCAATCTCCCATGATACCTCCAACATCAACTCATTGAGCCAAAACATTGAGCAACATTGTCTGTGATATATATAAAATTAACAAATGGTCCTGAAGATAAATATGTGACCAACCAGACTCACCCATGAGCGCGCGCCCTCACCAAATGGCAACCAAGTTGAAGGAGTCAATGATCACGTGACCGTGTTGGTCAGATTGGCGACTTGTACAATTTCGCGGTTTATGAATTGAAATTGCCCTCGTCTTGCTCTATTTTCAACAGTTCGGATATTTCCAAGGCTGCTGCTCACCTGGCTGTGATCTTGGCACGCTTCAAGAGCAAAGGAGATACCGCTTTCTTACCAGTATCTCACAGCTGGGAGGTACACCTGTGCGCACGCGCACACCACGGCTGAGCAATATCAGGAAAGGCGCCTGGGACGCGTCTCTTTTACACTGTTCCTTGTGCCAACAACGTGTGAGCTCGTAAAACGTAATTGATTGTGTATAGGCGTCATCTCTAAAAGGAAAGGTTGTTGTTAAGTATTTGTTTCTGGAGATGGAACGCACTTGGCATTGACCTTACTTCTTAAGGTGACATTGTTTACATTCGCAAATTTTGGTAAAGCTACAAGATCCGGTATGGAGATGACTGTACATTTCATTTGATTCCATTCTGATACTCCAAACACAGTGGAGGAATTTACATCATTTAGTCAACAGCGACTCCAACTATCGTAATACTTGCCTGATAATCCGGTCTTTGAAAGCTCGTCATGGTTTGGTGGATGATACACGAATATCCTTCATTACATCCTCTACCATGTCTCAGTCTTCTGACTATGATGATCCACAGCATGAGAACCATAGTGCACTAAAGCGGCACATTGCCACTTTAGAGGAGCAAAACGCTGAGCTCCGGGGAGAATGCAGTAATAAATGGTGAGGTACTACCACCTTTGATTGCTGTATGTATCTGACGGCACTTGTGTCATTGCAGCCGTGGTGATCCTTATCTTCTTGCTGGGCGAGCCATTCGGCGGCTTGTGAGCCTAAATTACAGAGTTGAGGATCTCGTTGGAGAATACGACCGAAGGACCACTCTATGTGGTGAAGACGATGTACAACACACGGACAAGTATATATGATCTTACTTCAGTTGGACAGTTTGATCTGACTTGTAAAATTTAAGGGAGGACCGTATCTATGATTCGTTTGAGCAGTTACAGTGTTGGGTCCCATGCGTCCACGACCTCATCTACTCCCAGAGTGATGGATATCAACTCAACAGCACCTATCAGAAAGTAAGTCACGCATTGTCCAAATATATCAGATTGATGATGCACTCGATTCAGCTCAATAGAGGCGCATATTCGGCCCGTGGCGATGATGCTGCTTCCTTGAAGCTAGCAGTTGCTTCTTGGCTGAACGAGAAACAGCCTACCCCCAACCCAGCGATCTCCTCACAGGACAAGTCTGGTTGTGGATTCTATCATGATGCTACTGCAGAACTTATTTGTCCTGTTGACTTTAACTGGGCAGATAAGAGGTATGACTTTTACTATGTAACTGGCTGGTATACTGCTGATTATGACTGTAGAACACAGGACGGGATACGAAACTATGACCATAACTTCCAAGTTACTGCACACTCTTGGCCAACATTCATGTACCAGGATGACAGGTATGATTGTGAGGACCCAACAAGAGGGCTTTTCAAAGGTGCTTTACTTGTCCGAGTAAGTTTTAGTGCTTCCCTGACCTTCAGGGTATACTGACACTCAAATGTCAATTTAGACGTTCAAACACATCTTCACATCCCCTAGCTCTGCCGGTGAGACCCAACCCGATGAAGAAACATTCCACCAGGAACCTTTATACAAGCGGTCGAGGACCTCAGGAGAAAGACGCACCAGGTCTGATGTTGCGGCATTATTAGGAATGCAATCAGTTCACCCACGGGCTATCGCATATTCAGCAGTCCAGGTGCATTGAATTTTTTTCCCTTCGATAATGACTAAAGCTACTTTGCTAGTTGCGATTTGCCTTGTCAAGCTGCGGGTCCTGGCGAATTGTCGATGATGAATTTGATCACTACCAATTTTACAATTATATGATCAATTATTTCGAACGTCCGCCAACATCTGCAGCCAAAGTCTCTGTTGAAAATCTTCTCGTTTGGTGGAACCGGTGAGCGTGTTTCCAGCACTGTAGCTTTCTGATGTTCACTGATCTCGTACACACCATAGACAAATCTTCGGCCCTTCCAATGTGTCCTCTTACTCGCCTCAGGTTGTAGTGCAATACTCGGTTGCCAACACTTCTGCCAGACGCTAGGGCACTGATAGGACCATATAATGACAGTGTACCATTTATTTGTATCTATGTCACAAGTACGCAAATGAACTGGGTTCCGACTCGAGATTTGAAGGTGTGACCGCGTTGAAAATAATTTCCAATCATCATCTCAGATCACGATTCACGACTATATGTTTGCAATATATATGATCATATGGATCCAACCAGGTTAAGAAAGAAACTGACAGCCGAAGATGAAAAAATTATGAAGACCATTGTCCACCACATTGTTCTATTAGTATAACACTGTCCTCAAGGTGGAGAGGTCTTGTCAACTTTGAACGGGGTGCGAGATTTTTCTATGATAGCAAAAAATGAACAAAAATGCAAACCAATGGCATAGAGAAAACCGGTTAGCAAATGGTAAGAAGCCGCTCACAACTTGCGGATTGCTAGCTCAGTGTTCGATATCCCCCATATAGACCTAATTGTCCAATGCATCAAGGCCAGACGATTGAGACTTCGCTTAACCACTGGTATCATCAAGTAAGGGCTGGGGAAATCTTTGCTTTTTGTTACTGTCTAGGAGTCTCTTGCCCAATTGCGACAAGTGGGCCACACTGTTTAGGATTATAATGCTGTATCTATTATCAATAATTTTACCTGAACAGGTCACGCTGTTCCCAGCCGTCAACAAATGACATTCATCGCTCAAATAAATGTTATGTGAAGTGGGAATTACATATTCACAGCAGGATGCTACTGACTAGTGAGGTACACCTTATGGGTGTCGTACCATATTTCGTCATATAAAAGTCACCTGTGGTGAAGCTGTAGCTTTTCGGGTTAGTAGCTTAAACAACATCATAGAGAAGTAGCTTTGCTGGTTTCAATAAGGATGGCGAGGAAGCTGGATCACCCCCATGATGTTAATCATTGGCCACGGAGTTTACCCTTATAATGCTCTTCATAAGGTTACAGACTGACATGTAATAATTTTACTAATTGTAGGTATTAGACCTTTTACAAGACGAGTATAAGAGTTGATGGTAAAACTTGCATTTCAGTGGTGCTCTCAGCATGACATGATGATGGGTTCCGTAAATTCAAACTCAGACATGAGAGGAAAACTGTTTTCGGCATTGAAAACAGAAATGCCAAAAGCAACAATAAAAACGTCTCGAAAACGCTACTGTGAACGTGCTACGTTTGTCTTCTAACTAGACTCTAAAAACTACGTTTTCGCATGCTGGACTCCCGGCCTTGCTGGCTAAATACGTGTCTGGTTCAAGCACCCCATCAATATCTGATAGGGTAGATTTCCAACATCTTTTATGCGTGGAAACAGGAAGACTTGCCAGTGAATGCTCGCTCTTCAGCGATGTTATGTGATTTAGTACGCCCTGCGGTACTACGACCGTCACAAGGGTAGACACGCACAGGTCAACCATAAGTTGCCGAAATCTTGCGGTGTTTTGACTTCCAACGTGTTTCGCGTGAGTCACGGCTTTGCAGTCTCGTGTTCAACGTCTACTTTGACTCACCCGAAGGCTGACGTGGGTTGACTCACGTTTCTACTTTCATGCAAAAATGCTTACTTGGGTCAGTTAATGAAGGCAGGAACGGATATTCCATCACGATCATCTCGGCTTTTGATGAAGGCGCTGGCCCATGGTGGTATATCTAGCACGAAATAGTTGTCATACGTCGACCAAGTTCGCACCCTCCCACATCCATCCATTTTCAGGAAACATGACTCTAGTCTCAAATGATCCCTCTTGGTGGCCAGCCATCGATTCCTGGTTTCTTTCTCAGCTATGTTATAGGTTCGTGTAGAACTAGTCTGATGATGACGGTGATGTCTCGATCTCACCTTGGCTGTGGTTTCGCAGTTGCTGTCTCTGCCGTAGCAATGTACGATTGGGGTAAGCAAGATGGATCTCAAGAACAGCTCATAATCTTATGGTCTCTCCAGTACTCACATTTGGACAAGAGGTGGGTAATGCTATCATTGGAGTGGACATCTTGCTAAGAACGGCTTTAAAGGTTGAACTGGTCTGGGTGAGTCGAATCCTGTTAGAACAAAATGACCATTAATTCGCGACAGAGCCAACGCTGGTCCCTTATGACCTTTTTATATCTCAGTGTATGTAGTTCGTAATATGAGTTTAACTGACACGTGCTGACTAGATGACATCCTAGGTGCGCTATCTTGGATTACTGTTTGCCATGTATGTCTGGACAGCTAGCAAGCAAGTGGTGTTGTGCTAATGTGCAATTCTCACAATTAGCATCGGCATCCTGTGTATGTTTTCTCACGTGCACTAACTTTTTTCTTTCTGACTGGTGGCATTTAGTATATGTTCCGACAATCTTGTTGACAGATGTAGTGAGTATTGTCCACCGATGACAACCATTTTACTCCAATTATACCATTCCAATGCAGGGGTGAGTAAGATTCTCTATTAACTTGTTGGTTCGAGCCAATGACTATCACAGCTGTGAGTTTGTTTCAAACGTGATTTTCCGAGGCTGATGACCCACTGGATTCGTTAGGTCAGGTCATGCATGTCGCACTAGATTATATCAGTATGGTCGGAGGTGTAATGCTGGGTGGTGAGCCATTCGTCTCCAAGACTCCAGTTTTATTCACTCGACTGAAACATCATGCAAGTCATTATGATCGCTCGCTTACATGCCATGTATCAGCGATCTAAAAAGGTGCTGGTATTTCTCGTCGTCATCTTCCTGGTTATCAGTATCTACAACGGAGTAATGACCACACTCTCAGCGAGGCTTATTTCAGGGGGTAAGCTAATGATGGATTACAGACTTGATGCGTCAGGCTAATTCACGAATGCTAGAGGAGCTCATTCTCTCCGATACCTATCAGTGTAGCCTCACCTATAAGGGAGATGGCGTATTTGTGTGTCTCATCATCTGGACGCTCAGTACTGTGTGGGAGGTTCTTGTACTTTGTCTCGCAGTCCGGATTGCTGTCAAACACTTCCGTGAACTGCGACGATATTCGGCAGCAGGGCTCATTGGGGACTGTTTCACGGTGTTAATGCAAACTCACCTGATTTACTTTGCGATGTAAGCCCGTGATGTGATTGTGGTTCCTTTTGCTGCTGACCTTTCTAGCTTTTTCGCTATTTCTTGTTTCCAGCTCATTAATTTGCTTTCGATCATTTCAGCGGTATGCCGATCTCTTTCTCCACCACTTACATCCACGATTCATAATTTCTACAGGACGCATCTTCCCTGGAATTTTGGATGCATCTTTGTATTTGTCAAATTTCCCAGCTCGTGTACATGTTTGTGCTAGGGCCACGCCTGATCCTTAGCGTTCGAGAATATAACGCTAAGCTCGTAGACGACTTAGATCCAGCAACCGGCATGACGTCGATTTCTTTCTGGCATATCTCAACCAGCAATGTGTAGCATGGGAAAGGTTCAGTCTGATTAACAGTTATCGGGTACTCTGCAGCAGGCGGGATAATGTGCTGTCTTCTTCGTGTTTCATTGTGGTACTGTATATTTTATCTAGTGTTCGAAAGTACATTTGAAAGACAAATAGGCCAGACAAATCGCCGATCAATTTAAACATCTCACTGCATTGCTACACTACCTGCCTACAGACGGGTAACAACACCCTGCAGACACCCCATGACCCATAGCACCCAACATGAAGCGCGGCGTTTCCGCCTCGTACAAGCTACAAACATCGATCGAAGGTCAACCGAGCGTTGCCAGATCTCCAGTCTAATTCAGCAATACGATCCACTCAGCCCAAAGAACTGACAATCCCCGTTTGTATAATGATTTGAGTGACCAAATGGCAACACCCAAGTCATCATACAGTTGAAGAATGGCGATTCCTTGGCTGAGTATCTCATTATTACGAATTTGACGGGAGACGCAGCGAGCCTTGGTTGATCCTCCAACGACGCATATAACGTGTATCGAGGCGGAAACGCCGCGCTTCAAGTTGAGGGACAGGGGCACTGTCTCTCAGAGTGTCTCCAGGGTTACTGAAGACTTGGATGCCCGGACGTGCTCGAGGCGTCTGTAAAAGCATGGGCTCGCGGAAGGAGTTCGTGTTCGTTGAGGACAAGGTGGTTTACCAGTAAACTGACTATGAGGTGAAGGAAAGAGATGAAAGGTGATGTCCATGCAGAGGAAATGACCATGCCTTATATACCATAGTCGAGTCCATAAGTTATGTAAGGTAGGTTGTGGATAGTGGAACAAGTTGAAGCCATTGTTACTTGTGTTGCGCTGAAACTTACGGTAAGCCATCAAGACCACACACCACACGCTGTCACAAGAGATCATCGTGACCACAGTTTCACTTTCTCTCCTCGACATCTCCCGTATGGAACTTCGAATGTCATAAGCTAGACTCGTAACATATGTTTTTGACGACTTTCCTATTTTAGCAACTGCTAAGTTGATGTTCCTTGCGAATTCCAAACCTATGAAGTACCTCTTGCCTAAAATATGGCGTACAGAATCATTATTGTGTCTAAGCCACCGAGAAAGTTAGTTTTATTGTTGTAGTATGTACAAGAGTGTGAGTACTCCAAGCTGTTGGACAGCAAAAATAGAACAACAATATATGAAGAATAAATTGGCCAAAAAGGTCACAGCTACACTATCAAACGCTATGAAGTTGAAACCCCCGTGAAACAAGAATAAGAAATCCGCGCAACGTGTCTTGTTTATGCAAGACGTATCATTCCAGGTCTTCTTCATCCTCGGTAGTAGTCTCTGTGTCACGCCCTTCACGAGAGTTAGATCGAGACGACAGAGACCTTGGACGAGAATTTGGACGAGAACGAGCACGGTTTTCAGCGTGCCGTGCAATCCGCTGCTGCTCACTAGCTTCCTCCGGCGTGAGCGGGTAGCTTGGGATGCACTTGAGCTCGAAAGTACAAGGCAAGACGTCTCCACAAGCATCTCTGACGAATTCATCATTACGGACAAGACCCCCCCACCTCGAATTACTGCAGAGCCAATCAAGGCGTCTCAGCTGC